GGATTCAGGCTGTCAGTCATCAGGCAGGGTACAGGCTGTCAGTCATCAGGAAGCAGTACGGGCTGTCAGTCATCAGGCAGGGGTACAGGCTGTCAGTCATCAGGCAGGGTACAGGCCGTCAGTCATCAGGCAGGGGTACAGGCTGTCAGTCATCAGGCAGGGTACAGGCTGTCAGTCATCAGGCAGGGGTACGGGCTGTCAGACATCAGGCAGGGGTACGGGCTGTCAGTCATCAGGCAGGGGTTTAGACTGTCAGTCATCAGGCAAGGGTACAGGCTGCCACCAGCAGGGGCATGGCAGGCAGAGATCCCCACTTGGATACAGCAGAGCTGGGTTGGAAAGGGCCAGGACCCTGGGCCCCTCTGGGAAGCACCACCTGCCGCAAGCTCAGAAGCCAGCTCAGCAGTTCTTTCAGGGAAAGAGACTTGGTCTCCGGGGAGTGGTAGAGACACGGTCTCCGGGGAGTGTGGGTGGGTCTTGGGATTTCTTTCTGCAAGCAGGAAAGAATAAAGAGAAAAGAAAAAGGGTGAGGCTGTGGGGCTAGCGGCAAGGTCAAGGCAGAATAACCTGGTGGACACACGGGTTCTGAGTCCTGCTGCTCCTCGGCCGAGACACAGCCTCCACCCCAGGCTGGGGATTTTCAGGACGCCTTTGGCAGGCTCCATGCAACGCAAGAGAAAGGGTCTCCGTGAAAAAGACCTCAAGACTGAAGGGGGAAAGACCAAGGGGGATTTGAGGTCTTGTGACCCTGGCGATTCTGAGAGACCAGGCCTGGGGCAGGGCCTCCCCCAGAGGAGCCACCCTGCCACACCTGGACGTCAGACTGCTGGCCCCCAGCACTATGTGAGGACACATGTCCAGTGTTTAAGCCCCTGGTTTGTGGTGCTTGGACCCACGAGCCCAGAGCAAAGGTAAAGGGTCATGTGAGGAAGACCTGTGTGCAGAGGGCCAGGAGCCCGAGCACTGGCCATTGGTCATTCCGTTTCCTTCTGTCTCCTTCATGATGCTCCCCAGAGGGGCTCCCTGGGTGCCACGCCTACCAACCCCTTCCTGCTAGGTGGGGGACCCTGCCGCAGCCCCACCCTGTTCTTTCCTCCGGCACTTCTGTGGTTTTCCTGGGCCTGGGCTATGGGGGTGATGCTGAAATCCACTTAGAAAGGGGGAAAATGGTCAATGCTGATGACATAAAATCTAGAGTTTGAAGGAGCAGAGACAAGGAAGGATAAGACCAAGTCCCAAGACCTGAGCTGAATTGTCGCCCTTGGGAGGCAAAGGTGGACGAAGGTGATAACTTAGTGTGAGTCTTGTTGGATCAGGAACAAAGAGCCGGGGAGTCAAAGTCACCGGAGATTCTTTCAAAACAAAACTGAACACTACAACCAAGCAAGCCGCTCCCGAGCTGTCCATTAGGACTGCGGGCGCGAGTTCATCCCTAAATCAGTGCCCAGCAGGCTCCTCCCCTGGCCAGGAAGCAGGACAGGGGCCCAGCCCTCCTGCCAATCACTCTGAGAAGAACCAAAGAGAAACACGCAGAACTACGGCCTGAGCCCTCACGACACGCAGCTCCCAGCATCACGAGCCCTGAAAGAAGACCTGCCCCCTCCTGCCATTCACTGTCCCCTTTGGGTTTGGTGCCCTCTGAAACCAACACCCATGGCTACAGGGCCACACTATCCCTCAACAACGGGTCCTCAGTCTCCGAGATCCAGCAGCAGGGCGGAGGCTAAAATGCCTCCCTGGTGACCCCAGCCTGGGCTTTCCTCCCCCGATTCTCAGCTCTCTGTTGCACAAACACTGCGGCTTGTCCTGAGAGGACGTCCTTCCAGAACTGGAAACCGCAGCAGCTAAGGAAGGACACTGGGAGCCGCGGGGCAGTGCAGGCGGAGGTCCCCGCAGATGAGAACAAGCGGGGAGCATGCGTGCAGGACCAGGCTGAGCTCACTGGGCCCACGGCGGGTCCCCAGCCGGCTCCACCAAACTCACAGATTCCCCCCAAATGCTGCCCCTGACTCAGGGAAAGTGCAGCCAAAGTCGTCACCCACAGCAAAGCAGTGAGCTCTAGGGAACAGAGGCCAGAGAGGGCTCAGGAGGACGAGGGGAGAGGGAGCCCAGGAGGACGGACGAGGGGAGAGGGCTTGGCAAACTGAGAACTGAAGGTGACCCAGAGAGAAGCACAGACTCCGCCCAGCTGCAGAGGCAGGTGGGGGCCCAGGAGAGGAGGCCGCCAACCAGGTGACCCTCTAACGCCCTCAGCTCGGTTCTCCAACTGAGCAGATCGTGGAACCCCGTGTACCATAAAACGTTCATGAACAGGCCACTACGCCTGGTGACACAGAATGCAGGCGTTTTGAGCAACGCTGTTGGGCTCCTTGTGCTCACTCCGTGGGGATCTTGCCCGCCTCCCCGGGAGCACGGAGGGCGTCTGGAGAGACTTTGGTCATCATGACAGAGAAGGCGTCCAGTGTGAGGGGACCAAACTCCACAGCACATGAGGCAGCCCCTCCAACAGGAGTCCCCAGGCCCAATGTCAACTGTGCAACAGTTGATGGGGTGGGGGACGGGGGGGATTTGCAATTCTTCTGCAAAAACTACTGAGGTGGCTGATTCGAGTGTTCCCTCCGCAGCAGTGGCCTGGGGATTCCCTGTGGTAGGGACTGTAGAGGTCACAGTGATGGGGGAAGGGAGAAGAGCTGACGGGCCTCAGAGCCCTGGGGCAAGCCCACCTGTCACTGGAGCAGGCTGACGGCCATCATCCTGTTGACTCAAGTTTCCTCTCAGCCGGCTGCAGAGGTGTGGGTCCCCAACAGGGAGAGCAGACACCCCAGCTGAGCGCGCCTTCCCCAGGTGGAGTGGCTACCCTCCCCCTGAGAGGGTCCTCAGTACCCAATGGCTCCAGCTCCTCCAGGTGGCCCTGCAGCGGGCATCGCCATCTCCCTCCTCTGCCGGCCCCCTTCTAGGACACAGCAAAAAACCTCACGCCAACTCCACCTCAGTCCATTTCCTGCACTGCCCACCTTCGAAATGCCACCTGCTGCGGCTCCCCAAGGGGAGGTGACCTTGTCTCACGGTGTTCCTGAATGTCACCACCGAGGACACTGACTTCCGTCCCCATGCCCACGGCTGCCAGGCTTCTCCAGCATTGGCTCCAGCACCAGGCATTAAAGACTGCAGCTCCCCCTGCCCCGGGGGCTCTGGGTCCACCTCCTGTTCAACTCACAGCTACCCTTTCCCTTCCTGAAAGGGACAAGTGGTCCCTTCACAAACAGGGCCCGGCTGCGATACGTCCGCATCATGAAATTCTATGCAGCTGCTTATAAAATTGAGAGGCTGTGTGTGTGTCGAGGACTGTTCATGGAACAGGAGAAGCCCCGATGATGATGTTCACTAAGGAAAAGCGGATGTGGTGTGATCCCAAGTTTGTAAAAACAGAGAACAAAAGAAAAGAAAAAAGAAGATCGTCCTATCTCCATACCGAAAGAGCATAGACGATTTGTTTAGTTCTTGGTGCTTTTCTTTATGTTCTCTATGAATACTTATTTCTTGGATAATATGCAATTGAAAGCTGCTTTAAAAAGGCTCAGAGCAATGATGTTCTTACGAGGGACACCCCACACCTGAAGCCACCAGCCGTCTTCTACCCTACTTGTTACAGAGAACCCACACAAATGGGCCCACAAAGGACATTTTCAGGGGACTTCTTTCTAGTCATGGGGGGAGGGGCAGAAGGGGCACTAGGGAGCCATAGAGTGTTTCATTGTCACTGGGACAGAGATATAAAGAATGGCTTTGATGGCACAAACCTGTCTTGACCACACAGCAGTGGCATGCTTTCAACCAGACGCCTTCTGTCCCACAACCTCTGACACCGACAGAATCTTCCAGAACCCAGCTGGACCTGCAACATGCTCCCCAGACCCAGGAGCCTGTCTTTGGAGCTGAAGCCAGAGCTCAGTGGGTTGGGGGTTGGGACGTGTATGGTTGTCCCAGTTGGTGGGCACCTCTGAAAGCAGCTGCCGGGCTGGGGGGGGTGCCTGCCTTGTGCAAGGAAGACTTCCCGGAGAGAGAGGAAAGAGCTGTGGGGCCACCCCGTGGCAGCCCCACATCTGGCCTGGTCAGCCAGAGGAACCGTGTGCAGTGTCCACCACCTTCCTCACACATCAGAGTGTGCCCGAGGGGCAGGCGGGTGGGACTCACCTGAGGCAGGTGGGAGGTGGAAGATCCATTCCTAGGGGCCTTTCCACCCGCCTCATTCACACCCATTTCTTGAGCACGCACAGGTGTGGAACACTGTGACACCCACACGTGGCCTTTCTGCAGAGCAGCAGTTCTCAGGTGGCAACAGCATGGGCGTCACCGGGGGCTCTGGGTGAAACACCGGCACTAGCCCTCCTCCAGTTTCTGACTCAGTGGGTCTGCAGGGGGCCCCACGGCTGCATTTCTAGCAAGTCCCCAGGCAAGGCTGCCATTGCTGGCCAGGGGACCCCACTTTGAGAATCCTTGAAGAAACAATAAGAAGAGACGCAGTGCCAGGGATGGCAGGACATGGGCGCTGCCCTCTGGACGTGGGGCCGCCTGCCTGGGCTGGTGTGAGCGGAAGGCAAACTGCTCTCCCCGTAAGCTGGTGTCTGGGTGGAGGGAGAGGAGCAGGGTCCGTCCTGCCCTTTGTTTCTCGGGGACCTCTGTGTCCAGGGACAGAGTGGTCTCCCAGCCAGCTCCCAGGAGGCAAGGGACTCATTGGGATTCAGCTGGCTGACAAACACCTGGAGGTTCTGAGATTGTGCTGAGGTCCGCCTTGGGGATTTTGCCTGGGGAGTTTATCACGTTAAGTCGGAGGAGTAGGTAAAGAGGTGGCTGCGTCTGGTGGGGGAGGTGCGGGATCCGTGAAGATTGGTAAATTATTCACACATCTCTTTCCACGAGAATGCGGCTCGCCCTCCACTCAAGAATGCTTATCAACACTCTGAGATTTTTTTTTCATCCATTTTTAAAGAAGGCGAAAGGAAAGAATATAATAACATTTAATTAAGAAATTAAGCCATCTCCTTCCTAAATATTCGGTTCTGCGTTTATTGCCTCCAGGAAGGGGGAGGGGAGAGTCCAACCACTGCAGGGAAATGGTTTCCATCATCTGCAAAATCCGATGCCCAAAATAGCCCCACGGTTGCCCTGGCAACTAGCATTTGCTCCCCCTCCCCCTCCCCCTTCCTTTGCATATTGCCGCATATTTCTATCATCTCTTTCCAGGCACAGTTCATAAACACGACGGCATAATAAAGAATGTTATCACCAATGACTTACAGCCCAGCTGCGCCCGGCAAGATAGGAAGTGGTAAGCGAATACAATTTCATGCAGTGAGGGCAACAGATTGATTGGGTGCCCTTCAAATGTGATGCCACTTCTTTCAGTCAGTCCAAATTCAGAAATAAAGTTGGTCTCGCCCTTCTCCGGCTGCCCTAGACAATGCACGCAGGGATAATGCCCGGGAGTCTCATTAGGGCTGGAAGGAGACAGGGATCATGCAATAGACTCCCAGCGCTCTCCCTGGCCTCCCTCCTCCCCCTTGTCAAAGGGCCGAGGCCGGGGTGTGGGCTTTTTGAATTAATTATCCTCTCTTCCCAAGGATGGTTTTGGTTCCTGTGGCCAGGGGCAGGGGGGGCGGGGGGGGGGGCGCCCGCTCTGGATGAAGGTCCCCAGAGACTTTGCACATCTGTTTCCAGCTCCTCGAGTTTGGGGGGTGGGGTGGGGTTGCTCTTTGCTGGTAATGTCAGGATCGAGGGCCCTCAGCACAACCCTGGAGAGCCACTTCTGTCCAGAGAGGTTTCTCTGAGGCTGTGAGGAGGGGAAGGGCTTCTCCCGTCCCCGAGGTTTATACAAGTCCTTCATGAATCCACTTCTCTGTCCTTGTTCCAGATGGGGCCAGAGCTGAGGGTTGTGCTTACAAAGATACGAGTGGCTGCCCTTGGGGGAGGGTGGACCTGTCCAGAGGAGGGAGGAGTCCCTGGCTGGGGGGTCCTGCGACCTCCTGAGGCAAGGACAAGGAGTCCAATCTCACCTCCCCTGCAGGAGCCTGTTGGGCCCTCCCTGGGTGGTGCAGGGACCATACACTGGGCACCCTGGTTCTCCGGATCTGGTGGACTACACAAGCCAGGGGCCCCTGCTCTGCCCTCCACCACCTGTCCCACGCGTGTCCCTCCCAGGCCACTCTCAGCCAAATTAGACTGCCCACCTGAGCTCAGGTATGTCAGTGGCTGCCCCCCAACTCAGGGGAGTGTGGATGGAGGACAGAGGAGCCCCCGAGGCACAGAAGAGGATTGAGGAGGCTGTAGCTTGGGGTGGGGAGGGGGGTCAGGCATCAGGTAGGTCAGGGGCCACAGGGGCCAGTGGTTGGTCACAGCCTCCTGGGCCAGTATGGCACCGTGCACAGAAGGCACAGCACATCTGTCAGTGGCAGGAGAGACCAGACTGTGCCCTCGGGTGAGCTGCCCACTATCTAGCCCAGGAAGACCCACTCGCCACACCTGGGCTGTCCCTGAGCTTCCTCCAGGACTGGGAGCCACGTACAGCCCGACTGGCCCTCCAGGGGCCTGCCGGGAGGGGAGGAGCTGGCGGACATGCCACCATCCAGGGTCACCTCCAGGTTGCGGGCCAGGATGCTGGACAGGAGGTGGTGTGGGGTGGGGTGGCAGGGGAGGAGTTGTGCGTGGCTCACCCTTCCTGTCACCCTGGGGTTCTTGCTCTTCTGTGATTCCCAAGGCAGCTCCCGGGGGGAGTTTGGCCACTACCCTACTCTGTCCCCCAAACCATTATTCCTGAGCTGTAGGAGGCCAGAGGAGAGCCCCATCTTTACCCACCACAGCAGCCCCGAGTCGCCCGCTGGGAGCCCAGTGCCCAGGCGCTACCTGGATTTTATACGTGCCTGGGCCACAGTGGAAGTCAGGGTTCCAGATGGCATTTAGCACACCCACAGTGTCGCCCACCACTCTACCTGGTTCCAGGACGTTTCTCATCACCCAAGGAAGCTGCTTCCGTTTGACTGTGAGTGTCCCCCGAAGGCCCATGTGCAACAGGCTTGGTCCCCAGGGTGGCTCCTTTGGGGGTCACTGTGGGCCTAAAGGTAGAGGGGCCTTGTGGGAAGTACTGAGGTCACTGGGGGCATGACCTTGAAGAGGATCTGGGGACCCCAGCCTCATCCTCCTCCTTTGCATCCTGACCATGAGGTCAGGCCCACGAAACACTCCCCACCATTGCTCACGGGCAACCCAACAGAGGCCTAAAAGTCATGGGCCCATCCCATCCTAGACTGGAACCTCTACAACCAAGAGCCAAAATAAACCTTTTCTCTTCATAAGTTAATTATCTCAGATATTTTGTTATAGTGATGGACCACTGACTAATACAGGAACCCTGTGCTCAGCAAGCAGCTGTTCCCCAGTCTCCCCTCCTCCTACTGGTGGGCAACAATTAATCTGCCTTCCATATCTATGGATTTCTCTGTTCTGGATACTTCATATGAATGAAGTCATCCATACGTGACTAGTTTCTTTCATTTAGCTTAATGCTGTTGAGATTCATCCACATTTAAGTATCCCTACTTTATTCCTTTTCATGGCTAAACAGTATTCCATTATTACATACCAGTATTTGTCTTTCCACTTATCCAGACATTGGGGTTCCTTCCAGCTTTGGGCTCTGATGAATACTGCGGCTATGAACACTCACGGACAAGTATTTTGTTTTTTCCAATTCTTTGGTGTAGGTACCATGGAGTGGAATTGCTGAGTCACAAAAGTAATTTTATATTTATATTGAGGAACCACTGGACGGCTTTCCATTTGGGTTGCAGCACTCGACACTCCTACCAGGAATGTGCAGGGTGTCGATTTCTCCATGTCCCCGCCGGCACTTGCCAAACTCTGTCTGGGTCTGCCCATCGCAGAAGGTGTGAAGTGGATCTCCTGGTGGTTTCATTTGCATTCCCCTAGTGACAAGCAAGCTGGGGGTCTTTCCACGATCGTTGGCCGCAACTCGAATGTGACCAGGCAACATAGTCACACGTAACATGACGGGTTCATTTTGACATGACCACACACGCGTGGATGGTTTGCTCCATTTAAGTCCCCAGTGCTTCCTCCTTCCTCCCTCGTCCTTCTGCCTGTCTGCCCCTCTCTACTCTTCTGTCTTCTTTCCATTCACTTATTCTGTAGACACACATAAAGGTGGGTTCGCTGTGGTACATTCACGTGTGTTCACAGCATGACTTTGCACACTGCGTTCCGAAGTTCCTGCCTGTCTCCACCCTGCCTCCCCCGCTCCAGTCCCCTTCCACTCGTCTGCGGGTATTTTCAGGGGACCCACCACCCCTCCCCTTGCTTTGCTCTGGCTTTTGCACAGGAGGGAACCCATCCAGCCCTTGACTCTCTGGGGCCCACTTAGTCCACTCACATGATGTTCTCATCCTGTATCTGGAAGATGCAAGACTCCACCAGAAGACACCTGATAAACAAGTTCAGCAGAGGACAGGATCCAAGGTCAACGTACACAGACCCATAGCTTTCCCAGACTCCAGTAGTGATTCTGCTGAGAAAGGAATCAGAAAAACTGTCCGGCTCATAAGTAATCTCAAAAACAAAACAAACAAAACAAACCAAAAACAACTTAGGAATAAGTCTAATCAAGGAGGTGAAAGACCTCTACAGGGAAAACTATAGAACACTAAGGAAGGAATCGAAGAAGACCTCAGAAGATGGGAAGAGCTCCCATGTTCATGGACAGGGAGACTCAGTATTGTTAAAATGGCCACGCCACCAAGAGTGCTGTGCGGACTCAGTGCACTCCCCGTCAAAGTAGAACTAGGAAGATCAGTTCTGGAACTCATTTGGAAAAATGAAAGACCTAGAAGAGCCAAAGCAATACTCAGCAAAAAGAGCAACGCTGTTGGATCCCAAAGCAGATCTCAGAGTTTACTTCAGAGCCATAGTAACAAAGGCCACAGGGCACTGGCACCAAGACAGACATGAAGACCAGTGGGACAGAATAGGAGACACAGAGACAGGTCCACACGGTCACGGCCATCTGATACTCGACAAGGGGCCAAAAATAATATACACTGGAAGAAAAAAGAAACAGCCTTTTAACAAATGGAGTTGGAAAAGCTGGATATCCATATCTAGAAGGATGGAACCGGGTCCCTATCTCTCACCCTGCCCAAAATTCAAATCAAAATGGATCCAAGACCTGGGAGTCAGGCAGAAACTTTGCAGCTGCTAGAAGGAAACATAGACTCAACACTCCAACGGATGGGCTGGTGCAGGCGCTCACGGGAGGAGAGCTTTGTCCGCCTCTGCTCCGACAGGGACCTACCAGCAGAATGCACGGCGGCGAGCTCCCAGAGCCACTTCTCCTGCTCCTCCTGGCCAATAAGGGAGCCATCCACACAGATCTCCATTCCCAGGACCAGGCACTGCCCACTGGACCCTGGGACACTGTGGTTTGGGACAGGATCTCTCGGAGACAGGGTTTCCACCTCTTCTCTTAGACGTTCCTGGTTGTAGAAGACCAAAAGGTTTCAGAAAAGATTGGCATTCTCCACTGTTCCAGGGAGAGCACCTCAAATGTCCCTCTAAGGGGAAAGGGGGGCACATCTGCACCCACCACACCCATTTCCTCCACGCCAAATAAGGTGGGGGAGGGGTCTCTTCCCGCTCTTCGCACACAGGAGGTTAGTGAAGTGTCTGGAGGACACTTCCGAGAAAAGCAAAACAAAATCAACTTCACAGACAATGAGGGTCTTTGTAGGACAAAAATCCACCATTATTTTTTCCCTCTCCGAAAACCTTTACACCCTGACGCCATCAAACATCTCAATGGGCCATCAGATGATCAGGTCTCATAATCTATGGGACCATTAAATGCAGGAAAATCTGCGGAGAAGTGACACGGTGACTCTGCCCCTCCCCACCCCTGGTGCCTTGGCGGCTCCCTGTGTTTGTCATCGCAGGTCAGACACCCACTTCCTCTTTGTCACTCTGCAACGTGACAAACGTCCCTGCACCCGACTCGGTCTCATCAGTCTGTAAGCTTGAGGGTTGTCATCCTTTGTCCTGCAGAAGAGCCTGCAGGGGACAGGGACACTGCACAAGATTCCCCTCGGGTTGGAGGGGGCGCTGAGCAAGGAACTGTGGCCCCACGAGAACAGGGGTCACGGTGGCCGCCCAGCCGCCTCCCTACACTGAGTTGGCTGTTATAATAGAAGGGCCATTCCACATGGCCACCTCGTCCCTCCTGCAACTGCAAGCACCGCCTCCTACAGCCGCGGGGCACAGAGATCCTCCCCTGAACCCCCCAGTGCCTTGCTGGTCCTCCTCTTCTGTGGTACCTGGTGTTGTACTGGTCAGGAGTGGACCAAGGGGTCAGCCTGGGCACCCTCTCCTCCTCCTTGTGCCCCCACCTCAGCACCAGGAGAGCAGAAACAGCAGCCAAGTGGCTGGAAGGGCCACACTGTCACACAGGACACACGTCACCAATGCTGTACCAGAGGAATGGCATCTTGGGGAGGAAGGATGATGGCTCTCCCTGGTTCAGGGGACTGGGAAGGTCCTCATGGAGGACTGACGTTTGCAGAGAGCCTCTGGGGACGTGAAGGGCTGCTGTGGCCCTGAAGGCAGGGTGGGGCAGGGCTGCGGGGGAGGCCAGCTGGAGCGAGGGCAGGAAGTGGGCAAACTGCTGCCGGGGCTCAGGGGGCCATCTCTCAGGACTGGGGAAGGGATGGGGGACAATGGAAAGGAAGGGGAGGCTCCGGGGAAGGCCAGGCCCCTACCCAGGCCCGGGGGCTGTGCTTCCTTCTGCCTCTCCCAGACCTGGCCCGGGTGAGCCGGGCATGGCTCCTGAGGCCCTGGGGCTGAGGTTAGTGGCAGGCCAGTGTCCCCTGCTCCGCCCCAGGAGGTGTTGCCCCACGAGCCCCAGCACCTCTCTGCTGACTCTGGTCCCCAGATCCTGGGCTGTGCTCCCTCCCCAGGGTCACACCTACTCACCCCCGCCACCCTGGCGGACACGGCTTAGCCTGCCCAGCCCTGAGGTGGCTGCCGGCTCCTGCTGTCACCTGGGCCATTTCCGCCTCACTGCAGCCCATTCCCCGGGCGGCAGGTGGAGTGGGTGCTGGGTTGGCTCAGCCCAGTTTGAGACAGCCCATTGGCACAGCCCACCTGGCTCCAAGGTCAGCAGAGTGCCCTTGAAATTGGCCACAGCGGGAGTATTTTCATCATGGGCATGAGGAAACGAGGCCATCAGGACTGCCCCAGGGGGCCAGCTGTGGGACACTCAGCAGCCCACCTCTGCACCACGGTGCAGGACTCCATCGCGTCTGAGGTTCCCCTCTGTGCCTTGCTCTGGGTGGGTACAGCTGCTGCATTGGCACAGCAAGGGACAGCTGAAGAGCAGCAGAGACCTATGGTGTGAATACAGGCAGTGTCCCCAGGCTTTGTGTTTTAAAGACTTGGTCCCCAGGGTAGACCTGCTGGAGATGCTGTGGGCCTGGTGGGAGGTCCTCGGGTCACTGGGGACGTAGCCTCCAGGGGACCTAGGGGACCGTGGGTGGAGAGGGCATTCTCTCCAACGTGCACGGCCACCCTCACCAGAGGACCAAAGCAAGGGGTCCCCTGACCTCCAAAACAGTGAGCTCAAGAACCCTCCTTGTCTTCCCAAGAAGCCGGCCTCCAGTATCTCCTCACAGAAGCTGACTCATGCCGACCCTCAGGCTGGGGTCCGCCTTCTGATCAGCCTACATCAACAGCTTCCGAGAGATGCACCGCCTGGCGCTCTCCACATTGGCATCACGGTTCCGTCTTTGATAATATCGCAAGTCCCTGCAAAGCAGAGGTTGCCACAGTGTCACTAACTGCCACTTCACCTTTCTGCACTCTCCACAGAGGGAGGAGGAAGCTCCACACAGGTGCTCCTCCTCTCCTCCTTGGTGCGTGTGAAGCCCCTGGGGAAGTGCTTACAAGAGCTGCTGCTCAGACCTGCCCTGGGAGGCTGAGAACCCACACTGGCTCCCAGGCAGGGGCTCAGACCTGCCCTGGGACAATCAAAGCCAGACCAACACGTCCCACCCCTCACATGTCAGGAGGACAGTGTCACCAGGAGCCAGTTGACTGTCCATGGGACGCCAGCATTTCTGGTGTCCCGCAGACCTGTGGTTTCCGTGACCTCTTCCAGCCAGCTGTTCCATGAGGTGGAGACCAATTGCCACATGTCCTTGGGATGCCACTAGCCACGGGCAGGGCTTCATAAGGACTTCTCGGCTCCCCGCAATCCATATGTAAAACACTTGGGAAGAACAAATAATTCCCACACAAACAGCAAAAGGAGAGGCAATTTTCATCAACAGAGACCCCATAAATCTTTATATATTTTATGAATCTCACTTACGTTTCTCGTCTGACTCGTGCATAAAACTTCTTGAGATTTATACAAGCCAACTGCATCCGTCATCCCCTTCCCGCGTGGGCTCTATATCTTGATGACCTTTTAGAAGCCAATGACGGCTTTTCTGTTGTTATCCATAATTGGAAAAGCACTGGAGATAAGAAAATTTATGGCGCCGAATGATCTACCTGAGCAAAGCCATAAAGAATAGCGGGTCTCTAAAAGAGGGTGGCGGGAAGGTACTGGCCTGTTTATCAACCTTATCTCCATCAGCCAGGGGCCTCTGTAGCTCGCTCAGGCCGACTCCCGGAACCCGCCGGTGGCCCACCGGAGGCTGTGCTGGCCTCTGTGGCTTCCGGGCCGCCTAGGATCAGCCTTCTCCGTGGATGAAGGTCAAGGAGGCGCTGTCCTCCCCTGCCCAAGAGCACTCCTGCTTTCACGCGGACAGACCGAGCTTCAGTGGAGTCCGGGATGGGCAAGGACGGGAAGATAGATGGGGTCCCGGGGCACTTCCTCAGCCCCTCCAGCCCCCATGGCTTACTGAGGGCCTACTGGGTGCCAGGTGCTGGTCAGCAGGCTGCAGATACCGCAGTGAAGAGAGTAAAGGAAACGTCCTACCACAGTGCCGTTTATGTGGGGTTGGACCTGAGTCACAGTCCTGTGTCCAGCCACAGGAAGGAGCCAAAATGACCCTGCGTGGCCAGAAGAGGACCAGTCAGTCCTCCTCCCTCTGACTGGCCTTGTGGAACCTGACTACCCACCACGCAGGGATGATGAGCTGACAGAATTCACGGTGTTAATCCTGGCCACCAGGAGAGCATGAGCATATCAACCAGCAGAATTAAGCACCACTGTTGTACGTACGCGGAGCTTTAACTCCTGAGCACACCTTCTAGGTCTCTAAGGAGCTCACAGTTGGTGGCTCATGGCCACCTGGGGGCAAACATCCTGTCCCTGAGCTAGAACAGGGGTGGGGGTGGGGGGAGTGCCTTGCTCCTGGAACTACACCTCTCAGGGTGGACAGCAGAGCTCAGAGGCCTGAGGGGCTCCCATCCAGAGTACCACCTCTTCCTGGCTGTGTCAGGAGACCAAGCACCTCATTCCTCTGGGCCTCCAATTTCCACAAGTGGAGAGGGTGGCCAGTGAGGAACCCTAGACAGCAGCGGAGGGAAGGGGTACCAGAGACCAAGACCCACAGCAGGCAACAGGAGGAGCCCAGAGCCCACCACTCAGCCTGGGCCGTGGCTCCCTCCTCCGCCCTGGCCACCACACATCTGTGCCTGAGAGCGCTTCGCATGGACGGGTGATTCCTGATGCCCGACTTGCCAGCCCACATTTGGGAGCCTCACGGGCTTCTCATGGACCAACAGTGCCCCAAAAGAGCAGACGGGCAAAGTGAGTTATTAACGACGGGTTGTGGTTCTGAGCTGGCCAGTGGCCAGTCCCTGGGGTCATTTCAGAGGCTTCCTCCGAGGTACCTGGAGGAACCCCAGAGGCCTGTGGTGTGTGTGCACACATTCACAGAAGGGGCCCTTGTGCCCAAGGGGCACGACCCGCCTAAGCCAGGGCTGCTGCTCCCCGTCTACCTTTCTCAGGGAGACTCCAGGCTTCCTCTGCCCTGGGAACACAGCCTGAGGGACCCCAACTCCCACCTGGACTCCATGTCACCTGACAGGGCACAGCATGAAGGCAATACGTCCTAGGCATGGAAGAAATGATCTTGCAGTGAAGAGCCCTGTGGCAGACCTCAGACCTCCGTCCGCAGAAAGGCTTCTGGGAGGCCGGCCCTGGCTGGCGTCTGGGTGCGCAGATTTCAGGAGGGTTACCCCAGACCTTGCTGACGGAGACTCACTGCGCCTAGACCCTTTGTGCCAAGGTTTGTGATCCCCCACTTTCCACCTAGAATCCAGGTGCATGCTCCATGCCAAGCCCTTCATTCCATTATCTCAACCAGCCCGCGCCAGTCCTGGGAGGGTGCTGCTGTCACCCCATTTTACAGAAGGGGAAAGTGGAACCAGGGAGCCCGGGTCAGACAGGGGCTTAGACATAGAGGTCAGAGGCGTGTAGGCAGAAGATGCCTGTGACCAGAGCCCAGTGAGAAGGTTAGGTGCACCATTCAGAGGAAGGAAATTCTGATGCACACGTAGATTGACCCTGGGAGACACGATGCCAAGGGGCACGAGCGAGTCACAACAGGACAAACGCTAGCTACATGGCCTCACTCACAGGAGGTCCCTAGAGCAATCAAATTCATAGAGAAGGAAAATAGAGTGGGGTCCCAAGGGCTGGGGGAGGGCAGTTGGTGTTTAATGAGGACACTTTGGGAAGATAAAAATATTTCAGAGATAGATGGTGGTGATGTTGGTACACACTGCAGGTGTATTCAATGCCACCGAACTATCCACTTAAAGATGGTCAAAATGGTGAGTTTTACATTGTGTATATTTTACTACAACTTAAAAGAAACAAAACTTCAGGAATTGGGAGTGCAGCTTGGTGGCACAATGCTTGCCTAGCATGCTCAAGGCCCTGGGCTTGATCCCCAGCACAAAAATTTTTTTAAATTTAATTAAAAATATTTTTTCATCACATCAGTCACTCCCGCTTAGCCCAGCCCACATGCCATCCCCTGGCCCCTGGAAGGAGATCCCAGCTTTTTCTGCTGGGGCACAAAGCCCTGCAACCTGATCTGGCCCTGCTGCCATCTCCCCTCTGCCACCCATGTCATCTTCTCTGTCCCTTGAACATGACAAACTTGTACCACCTCGAGTCTTTGCACCTGCTGTCCCTCTGTCTGGAAATTTCTTTAGTTCATTCTTCAGACTTGCTGGCTCCTCCTTGTCATTCAAATTTCTTTTTAAATGTCACTTGCTCAGAAGGCCCTGCCTGGCCACCCTATATAAAGTGGGGTCCCCTCCCCTAGCTCATCACCCTGATTCAGCCTGCAGAGAGCACACACACCCAGTCTTCTTCCTGCTGTTCATTTCTTTTCTGTCTTTTGAACAAACTGTCCAAAAGAAGAGGAACCTAGCCCTGTGGACAGAGTGTGGCACACGGAACTCCCCCCCTTCTCGGGGAGGGGGGCTGGAAGGAAAGAAGGTGCTCAGCAGTCACAGACCTTCACAGGGCCCCCTGCAGGGAGGTGACCTGGAGAGGAGACAGGGAGCTCACAGCCCCCCATCCTGCAGCAGCTCTGGAGCTGGGGGGCCCTGGAGTTGCCCCAGGGGAGACAAGGCGACCAGGCTTCACCCACCGTGTCTGCCGGGCATGGGGAATAGAGGCAGCTGGCAAAGGCGGGTGACTCTGGGGAGGCTGGCTTCTCCAGCTGAAGGCAAGTTCAAGGAGGACTCAGGAGAGAGCCCAGCAGGAGAGGAGCTCCCAGAACTGGGGGAGGGGGCTCTGGGGGACCACCGCCCACCAGGGCGGGGACAGCCTCTTCCCAAACACTCCTGCTGCAGACACTTTCTCCCTGAGGCAGGAAACGCAGAGGGGAGCGGGAGAGGTTAGACGCAGGCGGGCGCCTTCCCCAGCCGGCCCCAGCGCGCTCCCCGAGGACACGGACCTGGACCTGAGCCCGCCCCCAGCATGCCAGGGTGCTTCCAGAGCCCTGCCCCGCTCTCCTAGGCTGCCTGCTGCCCTCCACCCACGAAGGCCCTAGACAGGCTCTTCCAGGGGGCGCCTCGCCCCGCTCCCCTCCCCAGGGTGGGCATCTCCGCGTCCGGTCTCGGCGCTCCTGGGGGCGGGGTCTGCGGGGAAGGGGCGGAGGGATGCGCGGGCAGCTCGGGGCCTGACCTTCCCGCGGGGCATGCGCGCGCGTGCGCGTGTCAGCGGGAGGCTGCGGAGCAACTCGGTTTCCTAGGCGACGGTGCGGCGGGGCGCAGGGTGCTGCGGCGTGGGCGGGGGAGCGGTGTCATCCTGGTCGGCTGCCGGCGGGAGCCCGGCCCACCGCTGCCTGGCTGGAGCGGCCGCGCGAGGAGCCTGGAGAGGCCCGGGGCCCGCCGACGGGTCCGGCAGGTTACCCGGGGAAGCCGGCGGCGCCCTCGCGACACCCGTCCCTCGCTCTCTGCCCGGGCGGGGGAGCCGGGCAGGCGGGCAGCAGGCCATCCCGGCCCACTCCACCGCTAATTATTTTCCATGATGAACATGTTATTATGTCTTACACTCGAAATAATCAATTTGGAATCACCACTCTGATGAGTTAATGGGCACTTGGTGGGTGTCATTTGAGAATCTCTCTGCAAAGTGCGGTTCTATTTTTAACAGCGGGTGGCTGAGCAGGGAACATGAAGGACATGTTAAGTGTGCCTGGCCAGGCCCCTCTAGGCACCCAGGGCTCCCCTCGCGCAGGGGCGCGCTCTCCCTTTCTCTTTCCCCTGCTCTCTCTCCCGGCCCTTCTCCTCCTCTCCCAGGCCCCTCCTTCCCTCTGCCCTCCCTTTGCGGGGGAATCTCTGGCGCAAGGACTGAGTGCTCAGGCTTCATCAAGACTGGCACCAGAACCAGACCACCAACCCCCTGCACCGTTGACCCTCCCTCCACTCTCCTCCTGCTCCACGGGGTGGCGGGCTGTTGCAGGGGTCTGGGTGCCTGTGGATCAGCTCTGCTCCGTGATCCAGGCCACACCTCCCCACCTGGATAAGCCCCTGGCATGTGTTGGCTGCAGAATTTCTCAAACGTTCCCAATTGGTGATTTTGATTATTAATTCCATTGCACAGAGGAGGAAACTGAGGCTCTGGGGTTTGAAACCAGAGAGCCTGACCCCAGTGGAAGTCTGCATGATCTATCCCAGCAGCCCAACCACATGACCATGAAATAAGAAGCAGGAAGGATTTCTATTCATAAAATTCTTTAAATTGCAAAGATGGTCACTAGAACACAGAGGTTTCTGTCATTTCTGCAAATGTCAGAAAATGGGGTGGACAGAAGAGAGCTAAAAGCTCTCACCCCCAGGTAAGAGTCACAGGCGAGTCTGCAGCTAAGCACCTGCGTCGGCATGATGGGTGGACACTGGAGAGGGGGATGTGGGCATGATGGGTGGACACTGGAGAGGGGGATGTGGGCATGATGGGTGGACACTGGAGGGGGGAGGTGGGCATGATGGGTGGACACTGGAGAGGGGGATGTGGGCATGATGGGTGGACACTGGAGAGGGGGATGTGGGCATGATGGGTGGACACTGGAGAGGGGGACGTGGGCATGATGGGTGGACACTGGAGAGGGGGAAGTGAGCATGATGGGTGGACACTGGAGAGGGGGACATGGGCATGATGGGTGGACACTAGAGTGGGGGAAGTGGGCATGATGGGTGGACACTGGAGAGGGGGACATGGGCATGATGGGTGGACACTGGAGGGGGGGAAGTGGGCATGATGGGTGGACACTGGAGGGGGGGAAGTGGGCATGATGGGTGGATGCTGGAGAAGGGAACTTGGAGGGGAAGGCGCAGGCAGACGCTCCCGTCATGGGCCCCTTGCACTGGGGCCTGTCTGTGTGCAGTGGTGGGAGCACTCTGGGCTCGGAGGGATGGACTGGGCTGGCAGCAGTGCTGGCGAGGGCCAGACTGTAGACAAGGGCTTTTTACAGAAGAGATCTGAGACTCACAGGGAATGCTGCACCCTACAAAAGCTCCCTGGAGTCAGGGCTGGTTTTTGTCTTTGGCTTCCCTCAACCCATCCGCTGTGGTCCTTGGATCCAGGCCATCTTTACACTGGTGTGAATGGACAATGCACCTAGCCCATGGGCAGCGCCCCCAGCCTTGGCACCACAGACTTACCAGTGACCATACCTTTGCTCCTTTGACCCTTCCTCCCAGTACTCGGATCTCTCTGTCAGTGAAAGAGACACCCCTAACCTCAGTTAGACAGAAACCTACTGGTTATCTGCTTGGCCCCTGTGCCCTCTTCCCAACAGCCTCCGTTTCTTAAGGTGAGGGTCTAATTGGGCCTCAGGAGCCTGACCCAGGTCCAGGGATAAAGCACATGACCTGGACTAAGCCAGTCAGTGAATTCCCATCCTCTTTCCACATGATTGGTTCAAAGGTAGGCACCCTGGCCAATCCAGACCAGTGGACATGTGGCTCAGTGCCTTCACTTGGAGCATTAAGGCAAAGAGGCCTTCTATTTCTTACTGGGCATAACCAGAAATGCCCAAGGAGCTGCCAACAGCCACCTGCTGAACTTAGAGATGAAAACACACACACACACACACACACACACACACACGCACGCTGCCTTGGTCCTCACACAGCAGAAGGCCCTGGCTCTCACACACACAGGCCCCCCCATGGGGAAAGAGAACAGCAGGCAACCTTCTTTCAGCCTGTTCTTCAAAAGCTGGGCGAGACCTGCCTTTTCCATCTGAGAACAGCGGGAAGCTGCACTGGCCAAAGCAGAGGGGCCTCCTGTTGCAGCCAGCTCCTGTTGCAGCCAGATGCTCGTCCTCAGCAAGGAGAAGCCGTGGACTGCCCCTCTCCTCAGCAAATCCCAGCTTCTCGATGGTTCCAGAGGCAGGAAACTAAGCTCTCTTTATTCCTCACATCATTTCATATCCTGTGGCTAGGATCCGTGCAGGAGGAAGGAAGGCATGGAGATTCTTCTCTCCAGGGCGCCTAGCCTGAACCCTGCACAGCTCATGTGGTCATGGTCAAGGCCTTGCTGGACATGAGGAGTCCACAGGGTTTGTAGAGCCCATCAAGGCAAAGAACAGAGAAGCCACCAGGATTCCTTCCCAAGAACAGAAGTGCAGTACAGGGGTGGAGGGGGAAGCTTGAGGAGGCTTAGAGGAAAGCACCTGTCGGTGTTTGAATTTGAGTGACTCCTGCCCAAGCTCATAGAATAAGGGGCTTTTCAAAGACACTGGCAAAAGCACTCAAATCCCAAATTCAAATTGTGTGACCAATCACTTAGTGTAAACAGTAGGCTTGGTGGGGTACCCCCTCTCCCATTGCCAGACACCCAGGGCAGAGGTGTCCGCGGGGCCACAGGCCACACGCCAGCACATCACCCCGAGCACTGAAGGCTGCATAGTCCCAGCATGCTGTTTACTGATCCCAAAAAGGAACTTGGAGGACTCAAAAGAGAGGTTTGGACATTTTATCACTCACATGCTTCTTGGCGGTGTGGGGGGTACAGTGGAGAGCCACCCGTGCTGATGAGCTGAGGGGGTGCATGAGCTCAGTCGCTGTCTCCAAGCAGGTGGCGTTCTGCGGATGTGGTGAGCATCCTTTACTCTGCAACCAGGCTTGCTCTGCTTTGACTCTCACCTAAAGACTGAAGATAAGGGAGGTGGCCAGCTCCCCCCTCCATTTCCTCCCTCACTGGGTTCTGTGAGTCCTGGTCTCACTACAAGCTTCCCTGGGTGCTGGTCAGTGTTCACCCACACCTGCACTCACTGGGAGAGAGGAGAGCTCTCCATCTCTAGGAACACCAGATGTACCCAGCCCCAGCTGTGATCCACGACAGCCTCACTCATGTTCAAAGGAAGGCCCCGGGGAGCCACGAGAGGACCCCAGCAGGGTTCAGGAAGAGCCTCAGGAACGCACCAGCTCTGGAGGAGGAGTGCGCCAACCGGGCAATGGCGGGAAGCCACGGGGCACATGGGAGGTGCTGCCTGAGGATGTCAGCCCCCCATCTCCAAACAGAAAACCTCTGATCACAACCTGCCGACGTGACTGAACAGGTCAGGACAGCGAGAGAGCTGTGGGATGCGTCGACAATCCAAACACTACAAGTGCAAATGTTTAGCATTTTACAGAGAGCTAAGAGTCCCTGATATTTGTGAGTGACTGAGCACCTCACATGGTCCCTGTGTCATGTTCCTTGCCTGGTGTTGCGTATCCAGAAGGAAAAGTGGGAAGTCCTCCGCCGGATCTAGTGCCCACCTTTACTGCCAAATACAATGCACCTCCTGAGATATTCAAAAAATATCTCAGACCTGACTTTGGACTCAGAAGCAGTTTCCTAACATGTTTGTAAAAATAGTCTGGAGGAAGAGATCTGTGGGTCTTGAATTCATTTACTGAAAAACAAAATGTGCAACACCTTTCAAGGCTGCAAGAACAACGGCTTGACACAGGGAAGGCTGCAAATAAAGCAGAGAATCACAACTAAGAAGCAAGCAAGCAAACCAGCTTCCCCGTGAGCAGGGGCAGCCGTCACTCTCCCACTGCGTGGGTCTGCCTACCTCTGCCATTTCCACCGATGAACCCCCTCAAAATGGTGAAACAAACAATTCAGGGAGAGACGTTCCAATCACACTAAGTATTAAGCTAGAATTTTCCAGACTAATCAAGTGTGGTCAATTTGTTTTCTACAAAGGCCCAGCAGCATCCTGCGGGGAAAGAACAAGAGGCAGGACTGGCCCCTCTAGACCTGCGTCTGCAAAACACAGAAGGCACAGTCTCAGCCCACACCCACCAAAAAAGAGCTCACAGTGAAACACAGACCTAAATATAAAACCCCAAATCTAGAATTTCCAGAAGAAAACATAGGAGAACATTGGACAAGGGACAATTTCTTAGACATAAACCATGTAGTAGAATCTGTTAAAGGAAAAAAAAATGATGAACTGGACTTATTCAAAATTGTAAGTGTCTACACTTCAAGAGACTCCATTAAGATAACAAAAAGAGGGGCTGGGGCTGTAGTTCAGTGGTAGAGCACTTACCTAGCACATGTGAGGCCCTGGGTTCCATCCTCAGCACCACATAAAAAGCGAATAAACAAATAAAGGTA